GACGGAGGAACAAATATGAGCAGTGCAATCTGGGTGGGAAAAAATATTCTTGAAGAAAAGAGTGCCATTAATCTTTAGAGTGCGGCTCAAAAGGCATGTCATGTGTGAGCAGTCAAAGGGAGAAAAGTGCACGCTAAACAGAATTTGCATCGCAAAATAAATATTTGGCAAATTATAGATTCACTAGCAAGCGACAACATTATCCTCTATATTTGTTAGCATTACAGTGAGACTATTGTTTTAGCTCTCCAGTGTCTTGACTCTTTAATTGTTAAAGTCAACATTTCTAGCATCATGCCAAGCCAACACAAATAGCAAAAATCCAAAGTATTTTTCTACTCCGGGTTCACTCACAAACTAACAGTATGTGGTCTGAATGGGAATCTCCAAACACAGGGTGAAAGCCTCTCCTGCAGACACGAGTGTACTTGAAGAAATACTGCTGTATTTATTAAAAGAAAACACTGAATAGCGGTTCTAAAATTACAGTAACGAGACAGAATACCTGGAACTGCTCCAAAAGCAAGAGGGTGACCTCAGAGTCAGCATTTTTATTTGAGTTTTTACATTCAATTAACTTTTCGTTTTCTTTTCTTTTTTTTGCTACCAAGTACATGAACAGAAAAAAAACCTAATAATCACTGTTGCCCATTGTCATTGGAAAGAGGCTGGGCTTCTCTTTTAAAACACAAATGGACATGTTTGAATTTATTTTCAAACATGTTGAATGTCTAACAGTTACAGTATGATAGAAAAGTGTTTAGAATAACATATATTGACACAACATTCATAATAAGATGTAACTATTTCCGCTCTCAGGTGTCTAAAAACAGCCAAAGTTTCCAGGGCCTGATTCAAGTTTTCTTCTCTGTCTGCCAGCTTTGTGATGGAGGTATGACTCTGCCAAGTGCGGTGTTATCTTTTTCCCATTTAAATGCTAATGAGCGTGCTGCCGTACCAGTCAAAGCGCTGCAGAAACAGTGTGAATTCTTAATATCTTACCACACCAAAAGGTAACAGCTCTCCCGGTGAGGTGGAGGGATGAGTACATGTTCCCTCATTAAATTCTACACAAACGACGTGTCCCTCAGAGAGCGCCGAGGGCCATTCTGTGTGTCACGCCGTCCTCTGGCTCTGTGTGTTTATGTGTGTGTGTGTGTGTGTGTGTGTGTGTGTGTGTGTGTGTTTGTGTGTGTATGTGTGCATGGTCAATTGTATGAGGACGTGTGTGCACTCACATCTGTCTGAGTTGTGTAGATATGTGTGCATGTGTGTGTGTGTGTGTGTGCATGCAGATGTGCACAGCAGTGTGTGGGTGCACTTGTTTCTTCACCTCATCAGTAATGAACAGCTGTTAATTGCCTCCCATTATGTGGTGAAACCAGCAGACAGAGGTTAAGGTTGTCACAGACTGTTAAAAATTACTTTCCACGGCTGGTTTAGTCATTGATGGCAAAAGGTTAGAGGATAATTCACTGAATGTAATGAAACTCATATGAGAGAGTGACCCGAGCGCTTATACCGCTTGGATTTGTATTCCCTACAAGCACCTGTTTCCATGAAAACCACCAGTGTCCTTGTTGTAGCGTTGCAGTGGATAAATAAATGTAAAATGGTTCTCATGAACCATCCTCAGAGATCTCTGTGAGAGTGATAACAATAATCTATGCAGTGTCGCCTTCATGTCCTCCAGGAAAATTACAGCATTTTTAAATGAATACGTTCAACTTGGAGTCAAATTCACGTTGTGAAAACTGGCAAGTTTAGTCTGGTTGATGAAAGGGAAACATTCACAGTGAAGTGGTGTAATATCTGTAACGAAACTTCTCACGTCTCCCACCAGCACTATTGAAACTGATTTATAAAACTGGCTTCTCCTCTGCAGAACAAAAGGCTTAATGGCAGCTTTTTTTTTTTCTTTTTTTTTTTGCAGAATTTCTTTAAATGTGTTGCCTCTGTGGTCTGGCACCCGATGGTGATCTTTGGTTTGAACATTATCTTTCCCATTTTACTCGTCAGATAGCTGCGAGAGAGAGAAAGCAATGCTAGAGGAAAAACTGGAAAGCATGAGGGACTTTTTTTTATGAAGGCAGGCGCTCCTCAAAGCCAGGATTCAATAATTGCTTTCCTCTTGTCTCACGCAAGTGACAGATGGTGAGGCCACCAGAGGCCTGAAGATGGGAATAATATTGTTGATTAAAAAGAAATATAGGAAACAACATGCAGCTGTTGGCTTCGAGACAGAGGAGGGAAGACAGAAAGAGAAAGAGAAAAGAGGAGGAGAAAAATAGGAAGAGCAGGGAAACAAAAAGAGTATCGGTAATGACACAATTAAACTTGGCTGACACACAAACATTTTGACTGGACTTTGTTTAAACTGCTGATATGTGAAATGATTTGGGGAAAGAGATTTTATTGTTTTGCTGAGTTTTCCATGGTCAGTCCTGCCGGACTGAGGAGTTGAGTTGCCTTCCAGATATTTATGAAAGTTGTTATTTATTTGGAGCTGTACAGTCTGGTGCACAGACCACCCTTCAAACATGAACGCCCACCTGCATATGTTAAGCCATTCGCCTCTTTGTGCGTGAGAAAGAGAGTCAGATGGTTTTTAAAGCTCGTCCAAGATTCAGATGGACTGAAACATATCAATATCTTCTGCCGTGTGCGCGTGAGCTTGTAAGTGTGGGGGTAATTGTTTCCCAGAGCTCTTTGCTGGTGTCAAGGGAAATTTAACACTTTTAATGGCGAATGCTGATGCTGAGCTCTCCTCCTTTCTGGGCTCTGAGTATCAAAGCCTGGAGTCACACCGCAAAGCCTCTTTTGCATGGACTACTGCAATAATCGTCTTTCCAAGACATCTTTCGAAAGACAGACAACTCAAAGTCACAGCCAGAGATCTCTGTGTATTTTAGTTCACTTTGGAGCAATCGGCATAAAGGTGCTTCACATGCCTTTTTGAATTGAATACAGCTTTTACCCTCATTATAGAGTCTGAAAAGGACACAAAGCATACTTACATTTTTGGCTAAATCAATGTTTAAATATTGGAAGTCATACGTGAGTATTCTACGAGTAAGTTTCAGTGAAATGATCACACGGTAGAGCAGGTTTCATGGTCCGTCAGTGTAACAGTACCTTTTTAGTGAGCTAACAGAAACAGAGGAAATTGTAAATCAAGTCTACAACAATGACTAAGTGAAAGAAAGTCTTTGTATCTGCCAAATTCCTATCTTATTTTATACATTTCTGCAATTGTAGACCGCATGAAACCTAAGCTACTGTATTTATCATTTATGGAATAATAAGCATGCACACTGGGCGTCAGCTGTGTTGTGCGTTGACTGGATAAGAAGCGAAATAAGCCAGCGTGATCAGGGGAGGGATCGAGTGAGATTAAAAGATTTAAGGCTCCATTTGCCCATGAATATGTGATGCCTATCTGAGGCTCAAGCCAGCGAGCCCTCTGTCAGGTTGTCGAGGTGTTGGGGGAAATCTACCTTATCTGCATCTAGCCACTTTTCAACAGTTTCTTATGCCAACGTGCAGCCAAAAATTCCTGTTTGGCTTCAAAGTTATACATCAGCAGCTGTGAGAGCATCAAATAAAAAAAAGAAAAAAAAGAAAACCTTTTTCTTCTCATCTGAAACCATTGTCTGCTTGTTTTTCTTTCTTCTCCGCCTGAGTCAAAATACAGTAAAGTGATTCATGCTTCATTCAGAAAGCAAACACTGTTTCCATACCTGTGAGACTGCCAATACCAGCAGATACTGAACAATTGTTTGGCTCAGAAGCGGGTATCTGAAAGCCTCTCAGCACAACTCAATGCTGGCTCCAGTCAGCAAATAAAAATCAGTAGCTGGCAGTCACAGGCGAATCAAGTTGTGAAATTACCTCAGTCCTATTTTTTTTAATTTTTTTTTTATACTGAAACAGCCACAGAAAAAAAAAGGCTTCCTCTGGACATCCAATAGAACAGTTCTCCCTCACAAAATCATCACCCATAGATCTGTAACATCTGAGCTCACTTAAGCTCTTTTATTGTTGCAGTTTGGAAGCAGGTTGCATGATCGTGAATTTGTCACAGTAAAATATTGTCTCCTTCACACAAAACCAAGCCTACATCCCATTAACACAAGTTCCCATGTGTTCTGCATTACAGTGGGTATGAGTGTTTTGCATTGTTTATTCTGTAATGAAGTCATCATGGAGATATTTGAATTGGAAATGATACACTGTTTGGGAATTGCACAAAAAAAAAAAAAAAGACTTGTCTCCATGCATTTGCTTGTGTTATCTTCATCTATCTTTATCTTAATCTGTAAGATTGATGAGCAAACTTTCTGTTGTCAAAGATAAATGCTGATGGAAATGAAAACAGATTGCATAATTCTAACCTATTAAAGGCTTCAGGCTTCACTGCAACGCTTAATTTCAATGCTGTGAATCAACCTCTGGGCAACAAATCACACTGACATGAGTGTAGAAGGCAAATTTGTTCCCACACTTTATTTGAATAAAGTAAAAACTCAAATTACAAGTCTGAATATGTGGGAGACGTGATGTGACAATTATGCTGGAAATACAAAGACACTGAGGCCACGTGCACAAATATATGTTGAAAAATGCTTTTTAAGTCATTTTAAAACTATATTGCTCAGTTTGTTTTGATTGTAGCAGAAATTTTTAGACGACTCCCCCCTCCCAGTATTGAAGACACTTCTCCTCATCTCATGTTGCTGACACTTGTGACACCACTTGTGCAGTTTGTTCTCTCCACCGGTTTTAGTGGGTTTACCTTTGTAGCCCCGGAGTGTGAGAGGATGCAGAGAAAGGCTCGGCTTGTGTTAGATTTTAGGGCGGGACGGAGCGCAGGGATGCTAAGGTAGGTTCCCTCCCCCATGGGTGTGTCCACCGCCGGGAGACCTCAGTGTATCCACCTGCACAAGCCGCTTCCCTGCACTACACACTTGAGCGCCGCTGCGCAAGGCTGAGCCCTGATCTCCGCCACACTCATCTACAGGAGCAACTCTTTTGTTTCCAGCCTCCTTCAGGGGAAGACACAGAATCTGTTGATGCGATTTAGAGCTCACTTCAAGTTAAAGCGGCTGCGTCCGGTTAATTTAAATCCAAGCTTTGTTTGGCTCTGGGATAATCGTGCAGGATCTGCGGCGGATACACTGATACTCCTGCGTGCGGACAGAGGAGCTCAAAGGATCTGGGTGGATGGTTTTTAAATGTTCACCGGCTTTATCACAATATTCACTGGACGCAACTAGAAGGTAGGTCTCAATGCAAGTGCTGTTTGTGATACATGACAAGTCAAATTAATTATTTCTGTACAGACAGATAAATCAGTGGGAAGCCACATTTGGTACAGTCGAGGAAGAAAAAAAGAATAATCCCTGCGCTGCATGTGCAAGATTGAGAATATAAAATATATTTTAAAAGTGCAGAAAAATGATTTTGTCCTGAATATTTGGACTGGTTTATTTTAAGCAACAGACTTCCGCTCGACTGTATTTATATTTTTGGTTTGTCTTCTCTGGCGCGTGGGAGGCTCAAATGAGTTATTCTCCCAAATAGCCACTATCTCCAAATACTGCAAGAGCCAAGAGCAATGTGTGTGTGTGTGTGTATGTATTTGTGGGGTGGGTGGATGGTGGGGGTGTATGTGTGTATTCAACTAGACGTGAGTTTTGAGGGACTGAAAGTTTTTTTTTTTTTTTTTGCTGTTTTTTGATGTGATGCTGTGTCTTCAAAATCTGCTCTTCACTGCGATCAAACGTTCATCAACTCCCTGCAACTTCTTCTGACAATTTCAAATCCTGCAGGTCCTCATAAAAATAAATGACACGTGGTTCATGTTCACGTCCTCATAACTCAAAGAGCAGTCACGCTTTATTTTGGTTAACTGTCTGCTTTTGGAGTCCTGCCTTCAGGGCTCAGTGTGGAACTTGATCTCAAGCCCTGACTGGCAGTTTGACCTCGGACTCAGATCCACGTTTACATGTAGATCAGTGCCGTGCACGGCTCATTACAGTGAAAGTTGTTTTATTGTCTCCAAACGTTCATTTCCCTCTGCAAGTTCTCTGTTTGCGTGTGCCGGCATTTCGCACAATCGTGTCACCTAGTCCGCGGGCTGAGTCTTCAGATCCATTTTTATAGGGATATTATTATCTCCAGCTCTTTGTGGCGGATAACAGCATGTTGATGCGCTTTGTGCTTTAATCTGTGAGCAGCGCCAGCGCGCGCCAGGCTCAAACAACCAAGTCCTCCCGTACACTCCTGGTCAAATTCAGCTCCTCCTGTCAAACACTAGTAATAATTCTTCAACTTTAAACCGGTTTATTTGCGAGCTTTCACGAGCACGTTGTGTTGCAGTGTTGTGGAAAAAGTGAAGATCCGCAGAGAGTGGCGAGGTGTGGGGCAGGCATGCAGCGGCGGTGGCTCCGTCTGGCTCTCCCCCGGCTGGAGGGAGACTCCGTCCATTCACACTGTTGCCTTCACAGAGCAAGCCAGGATAACTGTGGATGATTAGGAGAGACAGATTCATCAGAAAATCCAGTAGCAATGATGAAAACTCAATTCTGTCTCTTCACACTCCTGTAGCCCTCAGGTTTTATGGTTCAAATTCAGTTTATTGGCCAAAATCATGATCTATGATTCACAACCTGCCGAAAAATACTTGAAAATATTTTAAGCATTCACCCATGAGATATCCAACCAATATGTACAACAGATGCAGAAGGCCGTGTAAAAAAACAGATCCAGTTTTTGGATTTGTGTCTCAGTCCTAGATGTTCTTTATGAGTAAAGTGCCAACAAGCTTTTATAAGACTAAACGCTGCAGCTCTGTCTGTAAGTGATCAAACTGATTGTGTCTGATTGTTGCAGCTCAGTGACTGAGAGTAGGTTGCTTTGTGCGGTCAGTGTGCTTGCTTACTGTTGACTGACGCTCATCCCTCTCTGCCCCTCAGCTCCTGGACTCTCCTTCTCCCCAGTTAACAAACAGAGGGGCAATGTTGTGGGACAAACTGTGCTGGCTGCTGGCCCTCCTGGCCTTGTCATCCGGGGGGCTGCCCCCCTCTAATGAGCCCCTCTCTGCTCCAAGGATCTTCCTGTCCTTCAAAGGTAAGGCACTCCGGATAATACTGCTGCTGTGCCTGTGACCCAGTTTGCGTGCCTATACACACACACACACACATGCGATTACTGGTCTAACACTCACTTCTGCCATCAGTCTTTGATTTCTTGGTTTTGCTCAGTAACTGCCACGGGTAAACTATTGGCACCACGTGAATTCAGGGCTCGGCAGGCCTGGTATTTGTTCCTTCCGTCCCTAACAGCGAGTTTGATTGTGTGTTGATGAGAGGGATGAGATGTGCTGCTGATTGTCCTGACTATTCATGTCTTCATTTAATCGCGGGGCTATTAGTCCCCCCCAAACAGGCCTTTGTGTGACCTCGGCTCCCTTCTGAAATCAAGTCAGATTTAACACTTGGCTGGGCACACACTCAGGGCGGGGATCCAGCATGTTATGAATGTTTGCTAGTGCCACATGAGACCGTGTGTGTGTGTGTGTGTGTGTGTGTGTGTGTGTGTGTGTGTGTGTGTGTGTGTGTGTGTGTATTGAACTGTCCTGTTAAAATAGGTCTTAGTGGTGCAGTGTCCGGTGCTTTGTCATTCCAGTGCCGGCATATAGTCATCAGCGTGTCCATGTAAAGCTCCTGAGGTTTTATAGTACCTGCCTCTGAAAAAGATTTTAATGAGCCTCTGACGAGTTCAGATCCAAGTCGCCACACTTCAGATCTCGGCTCTGTGTCCAAAGTTTGCTTGAGTGCATAACTTTAAGGAATCAAAGACTTGCTTTGTGTCAGTTCATGTCGTTTTGCTCAGCTGATGAAAACAGACTTTTTCCAGATACTTTTGCTTACCTGTTTGTTTGATCTCTCTCTCTCTCCCTCCCTCTCTCTCTCTCTCTCTCTCTCTTTCCTACTTGAATCCCGTCTTTTTTCTCTCTGTCTCTAATCAAGTTGGATTTCACACGCGACTGATTTCACATTTACTTGGTAGAAAAGAGGTCATTTATTTTCTGTTTCTTTTAATTGAGTTCCGTTTTGTTTTTAATTAGTTTTGGAGGTTACTCTATGCCTCACAGAGCAACTTCAGATAGCTGGAGACTAGAAATGCACCTAAGCTGAGCATTCCCTAATTGTATTGGTTTTTGCACCGTACTTCTGGGAATAGCTCTGTAATGTGCTTTTATTAATTTTTTATGTCCCCGTGTACTTAACCAAATAATTGGCTTTAGGTTTCATAATATCCGTCTAGTGCTGACATACAGATTGTGTTCACTTGTAATGGGTGCTTCCTGATAACATAATCCAGCTAATTTTTAATAAGCATTTGAATTGTGATGATAAAAGAAAACTACAAGACAAGCTACACATGTAGGCTGCCAACTGTAGCAGCCTATAGAATCAGCTGCGTTGTTGAGTTTGCTTCCGTCTATGACCCGGACTCACATGTTTATCTGTAAAGGTTACACACAGTATCACTTTCCACTGATTATTTGCTTTTTATGAAGCTGGGAGAGATGATTTAAATGCTTTTTGGCCGAAATCCAAAACTTTGACACAAGAATAACCCACACTTCCTCGTCTTTGCTTTTCAAATCTTTGCCCTCTATCAGAGCAGCAGACTCCGGGTTATACACACAGATACACACACACATTTCTTCCAAAGCAAAATGATAAGATCTCGTATGTTGTACAGTAGGGGGACTGCATCGCAATGTGACCATCTGTAGTAAATACTTGCCTTTAAATTCCATTCTACATACACTTTCATTTATTAATTGTCACTTTTCAGCTTTGTTTTGTTTTGGAGATATTTCTATTACATGACAGTTTTCCTAAAGCTCTACATAACAAAAAGCTGAAGGATTTTCGTGCTTTGAAGCCTGAACTAATGAGATCACATCTGCCACAGAGAAAATCCTGTACTTCGCTCTTTGGCTCTGACTTTATTATTTGAACCACTAATTTTTGTACTATATTAGTAGGAGTCTCATCATATTCCTGTCTCCACTAATCAAAAGAACTATACCAGTGCGTTTTGCACTTAGCATTAAAGCTCCATGTCTACAAGGACTAAGGTTTACAATGTAAACAACCTAAGCTGATAGTTTTGCCTTTTCAGGTTCCCAAAGTAGCTACTGAGTGTGTTACTGCAGGCTGAGTTATTAACTGTGATAAGGACCAAGAGAGCAAACAGGGGCTAAGACTAAAGGAATGTCCATTCAAAGCTCATAGGGATAGATCATCAACCCAGACTTCAAAAGAGTTGGAAAAAATAGCACACAGACGCACACACACACACACACACACACACACACACACACACACACACACACACACACACACACACACACACACGCACACACACTCACAAAATGCCACGCAACGATACATCTCTAACTTTGCTTAACATTGTGTTTTCCAAAAAAAGAAGAAAAATAAAGTAGATTAAAGACACAACTATATTCTGAAGTGCAACTTTTTTTGTTCTAGTTATCAGATGTGCTGATGTTATGACAAAAACAAAAGGTCCCATTTGTGCAGCTATGTAGGTGTATTCTTTCTCATGAAAACTGCACAAGGCCGGCTTAGATCAGCTGCTGAGAACTCCTATATTTACTTTTAAACAAGGTCTATAATCACATGCTATTTTAGTGCGCAGGGCTCTGCGAGGTTGTGACCCTTCAAACAGAAGCCAGTCACACCCGAGGTTAACTGCCCTCAAACTGTGGGAGAATGGCACCATATTAACAAGTAATAGCTTGTTAGGGCTAATCCTCAGGAACATTTGAAAGTGTTTAACTTTGTTTTTCTTTGGCCTCTTCAGTTGTCGCTGGAACACCTGGGCACAATGTTAGCTCTGGGAAGAAAGCCTGCAGAGAAAAGACAAAGCCATGCAGGCAGTCCTGTAATCGGACTAATTCTTAGGGACAATCTTGAGGTTACTTCAGCCTTTTGCACGCTCGCCACACAGCGGCCTTTTTGTCCCACGTAATGGGCCGATGGTTGTCACGCCTGAACAAAGGCTTCACATATCGGCTCATCTCTCCTGACAGTTTCCAGAGTTAAGATCAGAAATGGCAAGATGTCCTCCACCTCTTTATTCTTTGAATAATTAGGAGCTGCCACCGAGTTTGAACTTTACTGCTTGTTCTATTCCTGACTCTACAACAATAGACCTCATCTTCCACAGATTAAGATCTGTAGGCAGATTTATGTATATATATATATATAGTACATGAGAGCAGCCCTTTGTCTTCCTCAAGTTATATCATGGTGGCATGCCTCTATGTAGGTGGTCCTGTACTATAGCTGTCTTTTTGACCTCTCTGGTGAAAGAGAAAGTATTATACTCATAATCATCCTTTCCATGCCATGATATATTACACCTTCTCCCCTAGATTGTTAGAAGGATACCAAAGCAAAGTTTATCTCCTTGTACCCCGCCCGGTCTGCTCACTTATTATTGTGACACTGGAGACAGAGTTAAGAGCCTCAGCCAGGCCGTGCTGCAATCAAGTGTTAGCAATCAATGAGCTGCTGAAAGCTTATCCACAGCTAACAACCTGTCTGCAGGCAGATGACCCCTGGCTACTCCGGATGAATCTTTAGTCTGGCCAGTGAAGTCCAGACAAACCTGTCAGACAAAGCGCTTCTCTTTTGTTCAGAAATAAATTAAAATAAAAAAAAATACAAAGTCAGAGTGCTGCCACCAGTCATTCATGCTTCAGTTGTCTCGATCTGTCTCCTTCAAACAGAGGTGAACGTGAAACCAGTTACTGGGATTGGCTAATCACTGGGGATAGTCCAAATGCATGCCGTCTGCGAGCACCGCGTTCTCATAACCCAGAAACCCTCCTGCTGTTCAGCTACAAAGCTAATGTCGTTAATTAGCCGTATCATCAGACCACATTACACATTGCAGTGCATTATATTACACAAGTCACTTAATATGACATGCATCATTAAGGGTGTAAAACATAATGAGATATGCATTGCACATAGAAATACTGTGGTAGACTAATAAATAGGGATCATAATAATCAAGTATAGTGTGAGGTACTAATGTTATTGCTTTGCCTGATGAAGAATTATATAGGGTAGAAGTGGTCAGCTTACACAAATGTGGAGCGATCAGAGACAGTTGCTTCAGAGAAAAGCTTTTAGATTGATCTTTTCAATGAGGAATTTTTGTTGGCATGATTTTTTTTTAAGACCCACAAGAGGACTGATTGTGCATCTGCAGCTAATCAGTCTAACGCCTATATTACTGCCTCCTGGGTGTGGTCTGATCTCTAACAATTAGCACGCTTACGAAAGGCTCAACGGTTGAAAATTTCTTTGCATTGCTTAATATTTTCTGCAAAAGTCAGTGTGCAGACTTTCAGTCCGGATGGACGTTTTCCATCCGTTATTTCTTTGAGCCAGTATGGAAAAATATTTTGAATGTAACTGATTTCCATCCACAGTAAAAAGGAGCGGTCGTTATATTATCTGGGTGTTTGAAGATAAGAGAGGATGACAGTGTTGAGAAAAGTGCTGCAGTGTAACAAGTTAATGCTTTCGGGAGTGAACGACATGCTCTGCAACATATTATCTAAAATAAATAATATGTGATGTATTTATTTTTTTGGAAAGAAGCAAGAAGTAGCAGAAGCACTGATCTGCTTGTTTTTCCTCAAAAGCAAATATAGGCTTTTGGCTCAGGCTAAAGTCCAACGTGCACCAAGCGGCATAATCTAATTCACATCCTCCGTCCCCTTCTACCAGCTGAGCTTGTTTACTTCTTTCCCAGCAGATAAACATCATCGCTACATGGAGGTTACAAGTTTGTCACAGCCTTAAACTGCTCCTGTCCTACATGCTTTCAAATTCTGAGAAATAGTTGAGGCCAGGAGGCTTTTATAAATGTCGTTTGGTCACGTCACGTTAACGTCACTAGCACTTGGATGCAGTTTGCTCTCTTGGTATTCATACGACACTGTACCTGTTGGTAGCAGTGTATGGTCCAAAGCTTCCCTATTATCTCCACTAGAGAATGTCAGGGCGCTG